CATGACTTGCTTCAATGTCTTTCCGCCTCTCACTCTGAGCCCTTCCAATCCTCCGTGTCCTTTCACACATTCTCTTGTCATTCTCAAACTGTTTTTTTTCACTTTCTAACCAGCAGCAAGTTCCATTGCGAAACGTTGCACCGTTCGCCATGAGAAGAAATGGGAGCCGAACTGCCAGACAAGATCCAGCAGTTGTTAAGACGAGCTCGCAATGGATGTTAAGGAGGGGTTCGAAAACCGGGACGGGGGCTCACGCTCGTGCTGAAGACTGACAACCGGCAGAACACAAAGTCTGTATGAGAAGTGAGAGATGCGGCTTTTCGTCCGCGCGGGCAGAGTGGGCGTGTAGTCATGCCAGACACACTTAAAGTCGAGCAGCATATTTGAACGGCATATCCACCCACAGTCTGCTGCCAAATGAGACGCCTGTGAACATAACAAACGACGTTCCTGCGCCTGCGTCAAATTGTGAGGAGTGTGATTACAGATTACAGATTTGTCGTTAAACAGCTCCTTGACAACAAGTAGCGTTAGAAAGCACCCACATGAAAACCCGAACAGATGCGTAGAAGAGTTACGTGCAATGATACAGCTGTCAATAGCATATGTCAGTCGTTTAACACTTCTCCTGCGTGTTTGCAATTTGCAGAGAGTGTGGAACCTGACTGACAAGCGTCACTGAAGACTGTTAAAGCAAATATGAAGCTGAGCCGCTGCCGGTTATTCTGGAGGACTGCAGTTCCCTTCGCCACGGTCACTGCTAACGCGCAGATGAAAGGTCAGTCCTCCATCGCTGAAAGCCTCATGGGGAAGGCTTCAAAAAAGCTAACAGCCGTGGCAGCTAGATACAACGTGTAGATGTGCCTCAGGCGCATCAGCATGTTACTCATCTAGCTCCCACGCTCCAAGCACCATGGATGCTTGTACACCATATTCCACACCAGCCTTGTTTCGTCTCGCCCTGCCATTGGCTGGAGTACATAAACGAGTGATGATAGCCGCTGACATTTTGTTGTTTTGCAGGCAGCCTCTTATGCACCTTAAATATCTCTCCAAGTTACATATTAAGCCCAGGAACACAATGAACGAAACCACAAAGTGTCTTATGAGCGAGCAGAGGTTATGGTGAGGTGAACTGACGTCGCTGCGTAGTAGGGTATCTACTGTTCAAAACGACTGCAGGCCATGCTCGCATATGCTTGGTAAACGATCAAGCCAGTTTTAATAGACTTTTCAGAGTTATAGCCGATTAAGCAAAGAAAAGCACGCAACACAATATTGTCCGCCTTTGTAGTTTATAGGGCCGTTTTGGGTTCATTAATGGCGGTAATCGATGGCACACATGACCCACCAACATAGCAGGTTTAAAGCAACTCTATAAAGGCAGATTTTTTTTTAAAGAACAGCTACCTATCTAATTAAAGCTTGACCTGTTTTAAAAAATGTATTGGTAACCGTGTGCTGATGATATCAAAATGAACGCGGCAAAAGCTATATATATATATATATATATATATATATATATATATATATATATATATATATATATATATATTGTGAGCGTCACTTACTGAGCCAATGGCGTTTCGTCATTACGAGCATAAGTTTACCAACATATCTCTTCATCTATGTAATAAGACTCAGCTACGCACTTCACTGCACTTTGACTTGATGCATTGATCAGTGACCAGGGACGTGCTGGATGTAGACATAGCAGTGAATTGCACTTAAATGTTGCATTTTTTATCATCTACAAAATGTTCTCTTGAGTCAATGAATGGCCAGGGCGTAGCTCGACCCTCGGCTGGCAGCATGTCCACAGGCAGACGGAATCTAGCGCTTCGTGTACTAAATGCGCACCATGTGGACAGCTAGTTCGAGGAGTTTAAGTGGAACCGTAGTTTGATTTAAGCTGACCTAGGCACGTCCGCTGGTTGATGAAGTCTAGCAGTTAGCGTGTTATATGCACAACATGATGCTGTCGCGCCAACTCCGAGGATGGAGCCCATGCAGGTGGAGCCTATGTGCAGCAAGCGGCTGGCCAGCCTTACGCCTGGATTTTTTTCGTTTTTCACATTAGATAGCTTACGAAAGAAGGATTGAAAATTGACTTGATGCGGAATCACCGCGCTGCCCCCCCCCCCCCCTCTTCCCCCTCTTTACCAAAATATTGGCTGTGCGCTGGAGTCTATGCGTGCTGCCCCGCATCATAGGGGCGTGGGATATAGTTACCGTCAATAGTTGCTGAGCAGCCAGATGTTTGACAGCTATGGCAGATTGCGCTGGGCTTAGTTGCGTGGCTTCTTTGTTCTGTCATCGGAGGCCTTAATTTTGTCTAAGTGGGGTGGCTGCGTCTAACTGCTTAGGTTCTTGGGGAGTGGAGCAAACATGTACATCGCAGCAGAGGTCAGAAACGACCTGCCCCGCCTGCAATTCATACCAGTGACGTTCTATGATGGCGTATCCCACCCAGGGCCCACTGATCTGGAGCAGGGACCTCCAAACACGTGAAGGGAAACTCTGTTCCAGGACAAGGCCTCCTGATTCACGTAGGGCATGCGAAATCCGCAAAGCCCCTTGACACAAAACAGGGACGCGTGGTTCAAAACAGGGTATACTCCATTCAAAAAGGAGGTCTCTTGATCCGAACAAAGGTCTATCGATGCAAAAGGGCCTCCTGAATCCGATTATTGACATGGGTGTTTAGATTTGAGTAATATTTGGGTACCTGCGAAACCTTCTACTTAGTTAAACCGGGCCTCCTCAATGAGGGGAAATATACTCTTGCTACCCACTGCCAGTAGACGAAAAGGCAGACACCTCCCACCCCTATGATGTGCCGCCCCTGACTCATTGCAAGACAGATGAGGGCATAGAGCCCTTTTGTCTTGAGTGGCCTGCAATAGCGTCCCTTGCCGAAGCGTAGAGGGGTCTAACGTGTAAAGAATAGGGATAAACATGGCACTGAGCGCCACGGATTTGGTTCGGAAAGGGCTGCGCGATCAGTGGAGGGTAATTAAAGTCATTTTTATTCAGGAACCCACAACCCCTTCGACTTTATACCTTTTGTTGTTCTGCTTAGTTAAATCTTCATAGATTTTTCTTTCTTTCGAATTTTACTCATTTGACATTCCCTTTATGTTAGACTCATTGCCTTTCTTCCTTTTTTTCAACTGACTTTTATCTCTTCGGAGTTATGACCGTTTGACATAAGCCCTTTGGACTTTTTCGGAGATATGTTTTTGTTTTCTGACCTTTTCCAGTACTGTGTATTCGATTAATGAACTGTTTTTCACCGTGATGAAACCCTCCGAAATAAGCCCAATGCTTAGCAGAATGCCCTTTTCGTTGCAACGTTTACCACATGTCACGTTTGATAATGTTACATTCCCAAAGGTTGCCGACACTGAAGGGCTCGGCGCGGTAGCCCGGGCGGCTTCCTGGGGAACTCAAGGCCTGTCAGGAGGAGAGCCACAACACGCAACGCAACAGCACATCGTCTGAACAACAGACAACTGCCGGTGCCATTACGCGGAGGTAACGGGCGACCGTGGATCTCACCGGCTCCATCAGGCCGTGCGTGATCGGCGCCGGGGCTCCATCAGGCCGTGCGTGATCGGCGCCGGGGCTCCATCAGGCCGTGCTTGATCGGCGCCGGGGCTCCATCAGGGCGTGCTTGATCGGCGCCGGGGCTCCATCAGGCCGTGCTTTATCGGCGCCGGGGCTCTATCAGGCCGTGCGCGGTCGGCGCCGGGCGGCTGCGCGCCTTCCTATTGAAACAAACATCAGATACGCTGAAATAAGCTCACTTTAAATTATTGGCATATCTGTATGTGGAAAAGGATGCTCTAGACAATGCATTTCTTCGTTAAGCAAATATGGTCCTCAGGATGTCATTGTTTGATTACATCATCGCACCGTATACAGTATTGATTGAGAAGCAATTGACGCCCGTTATAGCTGGAACTCGTACGCACGAAGACCAGATATGAATATCTCGACATAATGTTTGCATTGGCCTTGATTGCCACACGGCTAGTGGCATAAGAGGAGGCGTGATTACGGCGTCGGCCTGGCCGGATTTGCGTGACGTTATTATGGCGTCATGACTGAGCGGTTCACCTTGAAACAGCCTCACCGAAACACTTTGGTCATCTTCGCGGACGTGCATCACAAAAACAGGAAGCGTTTAGGTCTTAACAACGGCACGTATGCGAACTGTACCGAATAATCTCCAAGATGGCTATTTTAGTGCAAAACCCCATGCAAATGTGAAGCACCCCCTTTAAAGTGCAGGCATACAATGTGCAACGTGTCATTTTCCGCACCATCCGCTCGTGCTCGGTAGGGCTTTCCGGCGGGGCGTGGAGCAGCAGGAAAGCCGGCCATGGTCCGCAGCTCCTCCCGCCGCGCCAAACACAACCATTAGCCCAGAGATGGATGCGGATCGGCCCTTCTTCCGAAATGGGCCATCTCATCTGGACTAATGGACGCGAAAAGCCAGGTCACCGGCGAAACAACATGCGGGCGGGGATCTTCTCTGACATGTTTTGGTATGCTCTGATCTCTGACATGGTTAGAAGCCGTTGCTGCTCCGCCCCAAGGACCCCGCCGAGCCGTCACCGTCGTCACTCTGGCTGACATCAGAAGTACCACGCCACGTGAGAACGGATCAGAAGGGGGACCCACAGGATCGGTCGAGGTAAGGCAGGAGCGGGCGGGCGGACCCTGCACCGTCGACGGCGACGCCAAGCCCGAGATCTGGTCCAGGGGCACGTTGGGGGCATACCTCTGGAAGAAGGATAGGCCCGCCCGGCAACACATCGGAAGGAGGGGGCTTTACGGTAATACGATTGGACCGAGAAAAAATGAGGGCGTGCCGACCCAGTTGGACAAAGCCTTCCAAAAAAGTTTATCAAAGGGAGTCAGTTGAGAGGAAACCCCAAGGGAAAAGCTGAGGAGGGGGGGGGAGGGGGAGGTCTTCGAAGCAGACAGGGGAGAGTGCATTAGGAGCCGAGGGTCGTACCTCGAGGACGAGACAGCCACTACTCTCATTACCTGGCAGTGACTTCAGGCCCCGCGGACAACGGAATACCGGCGACAACATGCACGTGTGAGTCCGCAGGCTGTTGCCGCCATCCTTACCGAGCTATGGACTGGTGGCACTCCAAACGTGTCTCTTGACCCGTCCCCACCGGGCGGGCGTGGGCCATGGTCTCCTGTTCCCTCTCGTGTGGTCGAGAAAAGGGCGGGGGCACTGGCTAGGCGACCCCCCGGCCTGGCACTGTTATTGGATCCCTCCCATAATTAAGGGGAGGGCGATGCCTCACGCGGCTCGGCGGTGGGCCCCCGTGAACCAGGGAACTGGTGCGTCAAACCGGGTAAATATCTGCGTTGGTGTTTAATTTGTTGTAAATGTAGGTGACGATCTGTGTGTTAAGGGTTGAAGGCGGAAGCGAGGCCGGAGGTGATTTGGTCAGGCGATGAAGAGGCATTCGCGCCCGGCGCGGGAAGGCACGGTGCGAGGCCGTTGACCCGCACTTGGGCGCGATGGCTCGCTCGTTAGCCCGCGCCGAGGCTATCTTGATTTTGTCGTTGGAGGCGGCCACGTGGAAGCGCAGCGGCTCGTCGTGGCCCTTGCCGGTCCCGTGTCACAGCCTCGCGCGGCGTACGGGCCACACCTGCATATTCCTGAACGTCTCCTTTTGGCCATGGCGCTATTCTGTTGGTTAGTTGGACGACTTGTCTTTCTTGGTTCCCCGAATTTTTCTCGATAGGTCGGGGCGGCTGGACCCTCACTGAGGCCCGTCCAGCGCATGCGCACGGGTTCTTTTAACGAACGCGTGTGCTTCCCCTTCGCCCTGTTTTTTGTTTGTTCGTTTTTTGTATGACTTGGTCCGGCTCGATTCACTGACTGATCTGCACACGGTGCCATGCTCGGTTGGCAAGGGCCCCTCTCGTCAAGATGGGATTCGCTACGGACACCGGAGGTTTGGTGCGGGGTAGTGCGGCGGCGAACTTTCCGAAGCAGACGGGATCTCCTGGTTTTTAGCCGGCGGTCGAAGGGAGATCGTCTTCCGTGGGTGCTGCGGCATCACGGCGAGATACACCGAATTCGCTACGTCTCAAGGGACCGTCCACGACTCCGCGAGAACAGGGGGATGTCACTCGCGAGGCGGGGTAGCGCTCGGAAGCAGACGCGGAACGCGCCCGAGCAGTACGGCTCGGCTATGGCCAGGATTGAGGAGTCAGGCGACCGCAATCCTGCTCTTAGGCAGATGAACGTTTGTGGGTAGCGCGACTTGAAGGCGCGGTTTCGCTGTTTTTCTGTCTGGGAGACGGTCGCCTCGTTTCGTTATCTCTCACTTGACCTCGGATGTGACGGCATGAAAAGGCATTGGTCTCGGTATGACCAAGGACCAGTGGGGCCGCCGGGGATGCCAGATTATGCGCGGCGGTGGCTGGGTCTATCCGTTGGTGTACAATGTCTTGGAAGAGAATGAGACACAGCCTGTTCTCTTCCGACATGGTGTACGCCGGGCCTTAAAGTTCTTGATCGCGGATTGTTGGTGGCAGATACAGATCCCGCCATCGACGCTCGCAGGGAGGGCGACAGGGGGCCGAGCCGCCGGACAGTCCAGTCAGACTGAGTCCCCAGAGCGCGCTGGTCGAGGAGACCGTAAGGCGTGAACAAGGTCATGCCGGGTGCTCGCTGGCTACCGAGGGGCTCCACCGTCCCATCTGGCACGCTGTCTACCTCCAGGTCACTGAGGGACGCGCCGTAGGGCGGTGTCTTACAAAGCTCACTCTGGCAGGCGGGAGGCGAGCTCGCAGAAACTTCGGAGGCGACGTTTCCGTGCTGGACGATGTGCTGCCTAAGGCGCGTGCGCGGCTGCGGAAAGCTGCGAGCTGTGGGCGTGGTCCAAGACATGGTGGGCCTCCCACCATGGATGGAGCGCGAGCAGTGTCTTCTGAAGAGGAAGCCACCACCCTGGAGGTCAGGCGAGAGAATGAGTTGTTGTCCAGCTTCGGACGCCTGATGTCGGTTCAGTAGCTGGGTCGGTCCCCCCTGATAAATTAACCTGATGCCTGACATGTTTTAAAAAGGGCTTAAGCGTGGATTTATTGGATGCTTGAAATGTAATAACTAAAATTTAAATTAGCTTAAAGAGGACTCGCGCAGACGGGCCAATTATAGTGCTAAAGCGTTGGATATAGGAGGGGGGGGGGGGGGGGGTTTCATCACTGTGTGAGCCAAGAATTAGTGGGGTGACGTGGGCGCCAGCGGATGTGTAGGCTTGGAATGAGTGTGGTGGGGCGCCGAATGCATGAAGTCTGTGTGGATTAAATAATACCGATGGGGCTCCCAGGGTTCTCATCTAACAGGTCCCTGCCAAGGTAATTCGCCGATTGCGTGGGATTCCAGCCAATTTGGACGCATCATCAATGCGTCTAGACCAGTTTTTGCCCCATTTGAATATTATCGTCAGCTAAAAAGATGGAGGTGTTGTACCGTGTTTATGGGCGCACAGCCATGAAAGGGGCGACAGCCGTTCATGGGCTTAACCGGACTTACCGCCCCACCAATACCCCGGGCACCCGCTTCATCCTAGCTCTATGGCTTACGCGAGTGTGTGCTGCTGTCGGGTGTACCTGGGTCACAATGTGCCGAGTCGTACGCTTGCACCATCTGGCTCGTGTGCTGACCAATGAGCTTCTCATTATGAATTCGCTCTTGTGGGGAGGCATGACAGCGGCAGCCGGCGGCGCACAAACATCCAGCGGCGGCCTGGCAGCAGCGCAGCGCTCGCAACCCACCACAGAACACCCCCCAAAGAAAGGTATCCTTGGATATGGGAAATAGAAGTTGAAAATATCTGAACATGGTATTGGTGTTATTTATGTCTAATGTGCTGTTCATACGTCTTAGAACTTCGCATGCTTATCACATGCTAAGGTTGCTGGACCCGGTGAAAGCAAAAAGGCTGAGTTTCAGTTTAGGGACTCAGCACCCCCCCCCCCCCCCCCCACGCTTGAACATGTCATTGTATCCTCGAGACTGACTTCAAAAATTGACGTTTGACTTTCATCTGCTCGTTTTCTTTATACACTCCGCTGTTAGATCCACTGTAGTAGTGCCAAACAGCGCTCATCAATACGCGATTTTAATAAATTTTCATATTTCAGACATACATAACATATAAAGTAAAAACAAAGTTGCAGTGATAGGAGTGCAGAATGGGAAATTTATCTGTGTTTTAGGGCTTGGGACTGCAGTATCCCTGTCTGAAGTATAAAATGGTCTGTCCGCAGGTGGGTTTTTTGTATTGGTGGTAATGGTGGTTCACATTAAAATTCTTCCCTGCTGCTATGCCAGGATGAAGTGAGTAATGATTCCGAGCACATTCAGCAATTATATCAAGTCAAAACTACGGCAGTTTTTAGGAACAACCAATCATTTTTTCCACAAGGCCAGATATTAAAAGCTGCTCCTTTATAAACATTTGCATAAATTTTCTTTGTTCTGAGGGTGCAAGTGAGAACAGCAAATTTGCAAAGTTCCATGGACATCAACGTGAGCCCCAGTCACAGTCCCAACCTCAGCTGGGGCTTGGGCCGCGGCCGGGTCAAAGACATAGGGGGAGGGGTTAGGGGGTCCGGAAGCAGGCCTGGGATGGTGAAGAGGGCCCAGCTCTAAGATATGTTGACACAGTGTGCCGATATGACGTTTCACTGATATCATTAGTGCAAGAAGAAACCTGAACCGGATAATAACAGCCGTTCCTCCACTGGGTTGCAGGAGCACCGCTGTTAGGCGCCGGCCGCTGCCGTCGTCCTGTCTGGAAACACCGCCGCTGCTCGCCGACGGGCGGCTTCCTCCATGGGTGGCGGTTACCGGACAGAGGAACGTCTTCGCTGCCAGCACCTGATGCCCGGTGCTGGCAGCCCAGCGCGGGAGTGAAGCTGTTGGGCGCTGGCCGGCGGCCGTCGCCCGGCGTGTGAGTGCCGCTCCTGCCGTCGTCCGGTCTGGAAGCGCCGCCGCTGGTCTCCGACGGGCGGCCTCCTCCCGCCGGTGGGAGGCCGTCACCTGGCACAGAGGCTTCGTCGCTGTGCGCCGCCCTCTGTAGGAGCGATGACGTTGCAAACCGGCGGGCGGCCGTCGCTCGGCAAAGGGCTGCCATGGCAAGCTGGCAGGATGAAGGCGACTTTGCCAAGATGACAAACCTATCTGCGTGTGTCTCCGATCTGGCGTGACGTGGTCGTTGCACGCCCGATGCGCGGCCAGCCTGATGGATACGCGCCCAGCCTTATCGATATGTTTCGTGGTCGAATTGCGCAAATGGTGATATAGCCGCATTGTATTCACGAGCCCAAGCTGAACGTGCTGCGTGGGGGCTGTGGCGAGAATTGGGAGTGGGAAGCCTTTGATTTCGTAGTGACTGGGTTAGTACATAGTTGTTGCTCCAACCTTTAACCTAGGTTTCGCGTGGCCCCAGTCCTTGGCACGCGAGGAGCGAAGAGCCAGCCGGTTGCCTAGGCGAGTACTGATGCCGGACTGTTGCGTGGAGCGTCGGGCGGTCGTGTCGGTCGTCGGATTAGTATGTGAGCCATGGTTGCATAGAAAATTTGGGCCTCCCAAAATTTCGGGCTGAGCAGATATGTTCATCCGTCTCGGCAAATAGCAAGCGTCTACCTCAGTGGTGTATTTACATAGTGTTTCCCAGTACATGTGTCCACCCTTTATCATATTTATGAATGCATTAACATGTGGGTGAATGAATGCTAGCTTCAAGGAAGTATTTCACATTTGTGGGGGGCTTTGAGCTGAAATAACCATGGCGAAAGAGTGTTAAGTGCAGTTCACAGATCCTTATTAAGACCTAACCGAGTGTAGTTTCTGAGCGAGACATCCGCGAATATGTGCAGATCGTTCCATGCGGACTAATTCAAGGTCACACAGCATCCGTGACGCCCTACAAACAAACAAACAAAAAACTGAGTCTTTCACCACCCAGGGGCTTGTTCCACGTCCAGTGGGTATGGTCCCAGAAGCTCCCCTGGCAGCGTTACTGGCTCAGGTTGAGGTCAGTCAACCAAACGTCTCCCCCCCCCAAGACCTGATTTCGTTTCGGGATGATACCACGGAAGTACGCCGTTGAAGTTGGGATGGTTGCGGAACCTGCGTCTTAGCAACGCAAATATTTCATCAAACCATTGATCTTCTTATATGCAGCATATTTTGAGCAGCATCCACATTCGCCCCCCCCCCCCCCTCACCATCCCACCGCCGGCCACGGTGTCCTTCCTTCCCTCCCCCTCTTCTCCCCGGCTGAGTGGTTCTGCGACGAGTCGTAGCTATGGCAACCAGCTTGTGTGACGTAGCCAGCCAAACGTGTGACGTAAACAATCGCAGAGGTATGCCGGGCGGCTGTCGGCGCGCCGGCGGCCTCCGCGGCGACACGAAAGGTAGCCTGTGAAAACTGGGCTTTATGACGAAGGTCGGAGCACTCGGAGAGCGAGCGGACGTATGGACTGTCCTCTACATCAGCCACAGCGCGAGGTCAGCAGAGCCGATCGTCAGGGAAGTCGTGCCCAGGAACACGAGCGCCGCGTACGACTTGGTCGCCGCTTCGGGACGGACGCCAGCTGGCGTGGGAGTGACGCAGCACCGGAACGACTCTCACTCCTAGGCGCTAGCTGGTTCCACGCGGTGGGCAGTCCGGGATCTCATGTCTGGCGGACCCAAACCCTGATTCGGCTGCCCTCAGGCGTGTCGCCGCCGGCTGTGCCACTGACCCTGAACGGCGGGCCACATGCAGCGCAATCAGGTGCACAGAAAAGATCGAATGGTTTGTCGTGTGAGCTGAGACGCACTTATGAATCTGCTGATAGAACAGCGCACTGTCAAGGCATCAACATCCTAAATGACATCTTCGCTCAAGAATATGAGTGCTTCCTACATACTTTGCTCAGGCATATCCCCCGTTCAACTCGTGAGTACAATGGTGTACATTTTTATGTGTATTGAGCATACATGTATGATGTATAGCCACGCTGATGCAACAACGCCAGCCGCCGCGCGCGCTCCCTGACGACGTCGGTTCCCACCCGCCCGCTCAGTCCGTAGATCTCCCTGCAATGTTCCTCAAAAACCGCCGCTGTTGAATTGATGTATGACCTGGCCTGTTTAAATCAGGCGTTCTTTTTCTGATCAGGATGGCTTCAAAACTTGTTAACGGAGGTTGTTGAAATATGCTCAAGATAATATTTCATTGTTTAATTAATTAATTGATAACCATAAATTTACGTTTTGGTCCGATGATTACCTAAAGCTCTTATCTACCATCGGGCAAGCCTATCTCCCGATCCACGACGCCAACGGTGCACGCAGTATCGATTTTCCAGCTGCAAAAGCCAGAGGATCGGCGGCGTCTGGGAGGCCCCGCCACTTGTACGCCGGCCACGGGGGCGCCGGACCGTGCCACTGGTAACCAGGCCACTAGGACTGCGCCTCTGCGCGACACGTAATGACGTCACAGTTCCCACGCTCGGACAGCGCCCATGACTGAGTGAGGGGGCGGGCAGGACCACTGCGTCCGGGAAGGAGAGTGAGGAGGAGATCCAGCATTCCCGATGCATCGGATTACGTCACTGGTGTGCTCTATAGTCTACGCTTATGCATGCAAAGATACGGTGCAAAACAACATGAAAAACAAGCATGAAGTCTCAGCATAGCTCCGTTTCCGGCGTGTAGCCAGAGAATGGGGGCGTTTGGAGACAGCTATCAGGGCTAGCAAAAGCCAGGAAGGGGTCCGTAATAGCATATCTACAGAAAGCATTGCCGCATTCGACAGTGTGGCGACTTTGATGGCATGAAGCTACCGACATTCACCAACCCGCTGTATGAAGAAAACTGCCCATAATAAGAGAAATCGATTTCAGTGGTGATCCGGAACTGTGCGCAATAGTAAAAGCCATAACGTGTGAAGCTCCCAGCGAAACAAATAGCCGCGCCTCACCGCGTGCGCGATCAGGGTATTACACAAGACAATCCCCAGAAGTTGCTGTAAGTGATAATAGGTGGTGAGGCCCCCTGCCCCCCCCCCCCTCCTCTCAATACCCGCAGGAGAACAGATACCAACATTGGTTCAATGTTACGTAACGATAACATTGACCCCATCGGGTCAATGCTAGGCTGCATTAGGACACGAGGGTTAACAACTGAAAGTCTTCTTCCTGGAGCTTGGATAACTGACGATTACACTCACCCCTGCATTTGGCAGCAATCGCCGGTTCGACGTGGCGAAAAATGATTCCAGTCTCCATTCAAGTTCCGAACCAAGTGTGAACGGTGAAAGACAGGTTTTGAATGACAATTTTAGCTGTTACTGGGATTTTTGGGTGCGTCTTAAGGTCTTTCGCAATAATTAAGACTATTCAGTGTTTTATCAACGCTACGGCATTCTTTCATCTCTATATCTATCTCCACCCCCATGTCTTTGTCTCCAATCCCGTCTCTGGCGCCTTTCAAGAAATCTCCGCACTTCAAAAATCGATTGACAGGATCGGCACAAGCAAAGCAGGTCAGAAGAGCACGCAACTTTGCATCGCGGATCAGAGTAAACCACTCGTGCTCTCCAGGGCGCCAGTGACCGCCGCATTCAGAGATTACAAACTTCATAACGGACGCTTTTCATCCAAAGAGGTGTTGCACATCACGTCCAAACGTGACATTTTTCAGTTGAAAAAGATCTCTACGGAGCAAAACAACATTTAAAGAGTGTAGGCATGTTGCTGGGATAAGAAGAGATCGTTTTGTCCGTGCTCGATGCCTGGTGACCGTGAAACATTTGCTGATTAGGAAAACACATCAACACATTGCAGAGGAGATTTAAATGTCTTGTAAAGCATGGAAATCGTTTGGAAAATGCCCATGTACCGTTTTCACACTCAATGGATTTTTTTTTCTCCGCCGAAATCCTTTAATAAGTTTCCTAACTAACGTGAGTCGTTTGATAGGCATTGAAATATTTTCTGCTGTCTCTTATTAGTGGAGAACTGTAGGGTATTGTGTGATATCCGTCTCTCGACTATCAAAGCTCGTGGTAACTTTTCTCCGGTATTCGCCAGTTCTTCCCTGTCCTGCACTCTGTGCAGCAGATTAGGCCGGCTCGACATTTCACAAACAAAAGAGAGTAATTGTGAATGTGCTCTACTGCGCATTTTGGAAACAATTTTTTATGCGCGTGACGGATTTGCTTAACATTTCCTCCAAGATGGCAAACATGCTTGTCAGGCGTGTCGGGGGACAGCGATCACTTCTAGTGGTTCACATCCGCGTTGTGAAGCGTGGGGCTTACAATAGATTAGCTTGCAGTTGGTCACTGGCACATGCCTACGTGGTCATCGAAAGATCAAGGCCCGCTGTTGCACTCCGTGAGCAGAGGGCGGACAGCCGATGAGACGGCCAGCAGGTCCACCAGAGCCAGGGGCGTAAAAAACCCAGCACAGATCATCAGAGCCAGCCAACTCATCACTGTATCCAGGATTACACGGGTCATTGAAGCAAGGCTGTGTAGGACAGCACAAGTCGTTAGCACCAAGGAATTCAACTTCTTAAGCTGCGGTAGCGTCAGCACGAGCCATCAGAGCTAAGCACTATAGCACTGCACGCAGCGACAGCACGGGTTGGCAGAGCCCGTTGGCTCCGTTGTCGTTTGCTGTTTGCCTCGAGCAACCGTACATACGCATATTAAATAGCAAAATGTGTGAGCTACGGGGAACACAATAGCCTCAAACTCCAAACCGTAAGAGCACATGCAATCACAGCTGGGATCTCATTTCTTCGGGTCGCAGCGGCAGCAGTCATCAGGGTGGGGGGGCCTCATCTCTGTGAACCGCAAAGGACGCGTTCTTCGGAGCAGGGCCTTCTTTTTGCACAGCTTAACATCATTCTGGGCTGAAGGCTGATTCTAAAAATCACTTCCTTCTGCCGCCGACCACTGCCATTCTACGAAATGCATTGACGTGGCGGACAAATCTGCGCGATACGCGGGAGTCGTAAGTCTTTGCCGTTTTAGCGTCTTAAAGACATTTGAGGTCCTGGCTCGCACGCAGAAAGGCTGACGAGAATATTGGCTGAGTGGGAGGAGGAGGCAACCAGAAAGAGAAAAACTGTACCCCTTTAACTTCGGTAGCCTCTTCAGGGAAAGTCGAGGGCTTGAATCTTCCGGCTTTCACACCACCAAATGAACAACAGGAATGGTGTCATCAACAGACTCACAAGTTCATAGAGATAAGCATTCCGGCACTAACCGCGCTCCGTAACAGCAGAGAGCTTGTCCACCTCTACCATAGCATATCATTAGCACATTTCGCTCGGCGTATCAGCCGCACATCACCCCACGCTTCCCCGTGAGTGGCTCGCCAGACGGGCGGTTTGCCATATGCTCGGCTAATCAACCGGATTGCGTACGTTTCCACTGGATCGACCTTGGTGCCGTCTGCCTAACCATCCGAGCCAAACGTCTGTCTCCTGTCATCAATCGGCAGAGATGCCGCGGCACGTTCTGTCTAGCATC